AAGACCTTTCTCAGCATGCAACATACATAGACCACTTATATACGGCCAGATTGCTGTGTCCAGACCGAATGTCAAGTGCAGTGCTGGGCTTAGCAACATATAGGTGAGCGGCTTTAAGTCGTTTACAGGCTGGTACCAAAGACACTTAATAAAATATGCAAATAGTAGAGTGATGAAAATTATATTAGAAAGAATACACTCTATACTATCAGCAGGCCTACACTAAGTATGAGAGAATTTCTGAAAAAGTGGCAAGATTCAAATAATCTTATCTTATGCATTCTACTTTTTGAAGTTTTGGTATAAAGGGTGAGTGGATGGTGGATGAATGATGTCTTAAATAAGGGGGAAATTAGACACACTTAAAGACCAAAAGATCATTTTAAAAGATGAAATTCACCCATAATTTGCACAGTTCCCAGAAAAATGTCAGCCTCCATCCATGTTCTCTACCCAGTTAGTGTCAAAAATGTATATCAGCCACTCATCTCGTTTTTCACCCACTCAACAGCACCCTCAATACCAAACCCTCTGATACAAAGCAGCCTCCTAGGGAAAGTTCCCTCATTCACTCATTCAATCGCATACACAAATGTACTGTATGACACACACATACACAATCACAATAGTCAGTGCCAAAAATTGAGAGGAGACACTGACCATAACCATTTCCAGTTCCCCACAGATGCTGGGGTTACTCCGTCAACCATGTCTCTATAAAGGTCAGGAAATAATGGGTACCAGTAGACAGAGTTGGGGTGCTGCCAGGGTTTTGAGGTTGCTACTGTAGTGAGGGAGCTGAAAATACAGAAGCATTAATCCCAGTCCTTAGCCTGAGGACACTCAATGGTCTCTGTTTCTTTGCTTATATTTTCATGCAAACCCCACTTGACAGCATTAGCATGCACATCTGCTCTAAGGACTGGGATTTCAAGTCAGACTGGGTAAGCACATATAGAACTTGAAAGGTTAACTCTTATGTTTAAATTTTTTGTATATTAAGCTGCACTATGCTAGACAAGGTTGCAATAAGAAAGTCATCAATTATTTAGAAAACTTTCTTTTGTAATTATTGATTGACAGATGCTATCAATCAGAAGGGAAATTTAGAAGTAAAATTCTCTCATGAAAGGGTAAAGTTACCAAGATTAGTCAAACTAAAATAACAAATTTAAAAGGTCAGCAAGATTTTATCAAAGACATGCAAACTAAGGAGAAGCCACCAGAAAAACTATGAAAATGTTCTACAACATCAGTCTTTAAGTTTGATCAAATAAAAAGCTCCAAAGAGACCAAAACACACTCTACCCCCATTTAAGGTCACCTCAAAAACCAGGGCACTTGCTCCATGATGGTGAGAATACTATCATGAATAAATACATAAATATCTGAAATAAAGAGAATTATAGCCAGAGCAATGTGTTTTTCTCCCTCTTGAGAAGGAAAATGTGAAAGAGAACATCTCCTGTATCTACCTGGGTATGTTCTTAGAACATACAGATGTTCTTAGAACATCTCCTGTATCTACCTGGATATGTTCTTAGAACATACAGATGTTCTTAGAACATCTCCTGTATCTACCTGGGTATAGTAAACAATTCAGAACTACAACTAAGAAAAGAATACTCCAGAGTCTCTGAGCTAAGTAACTGTTGGACAATAAATCATGTTGTTTCATAGACACCAATCCATACCGCAGTGGGCTTCCCAACAAAATCCCACCTAGGAAGGAACCCTGGAAAAACTGAGGATACAGAAAGCTCATTTCCCTGGGATTTGTAAGTGTGGTTTAGGATGGGCCTGCTCCTAGCAGTCTGCTGCTCAGCCAAGTCCCCCTGCCTCCAATTATGTCAGTTGCTCCCACTAAAATGGGAGTGACAACAAAGTGAGTTTAAGTATCTTGACCTAAGCTACACAAAACAGCATTTAGAAGGGCAGGACTGAAAGCTAAATCTAGTGGTCAAACTTTGCTACAAGCATGCCCACCTATTAAGGTAGATGCCCCAGTTACCTTCTTGGAAGAACAAAGTGAACATCAAGACAACTCACGGTTGGTGGAAATTAAATACCAGAACGTCTTTAGAAAATATTAGAATTCCTATTTCATTTCAATCAAAAAATTAAAAATGGGTATGCCAAAATTTAGTATTTAGGTGGGTCTGGAGCATGAGTTAGTCTGGTTGCTGGCTACTTGCATAATAGTTGGTGGGTGTTCTGGGGGAAGACCAGGCTCACCCTCTTGAGCAGGTCAGAGTAGGTTGCCCTTTTACTCTTCAGTATATGGAAGCAGGTTTCTGTTTACTATACCCAGGTAGATACAGGAGATGTTCTAATAAAAGATAATTTGTGTTCATCGGTTACCTTCCTAGTATCAATACAACTCTTTCTGTCCCGTCTCCTCATGCCCTGTGTGGTATATGGGCTCCTTCAAGCAGGCCTCATCCCTGCTCAGATGCTTGCTCTTGCCTTCTACCTCAGGTCTTTCCTGTAAAGTTGGAGGCATGAAAGGCTACAAGGCCCCACTGAGTAACCACACATTTAAAACTACAAAATGAAATAAATAAATAAATAATAAAACTACAAAATGAACTTTTGAATAATGGAGCATGGAAGCTCAAGAATACAGTTTCCCCATTCCTTTCCCCAGAGAGACTAAGAAGTAATTATTTATATGCTCTTTAGAAAGACTACACTTAATAGCAAACACTGTTATTTACCATAAAAGATGGTAATCAACTCAGTAAAATGTCCTTGAGACTCCCTCTCTTGTTCTCCTTTCTAGAACTTTGAGGTGTATATACTTCTAAAAAAAAAAGAAAAAAACAAACAAACAAACAAACTTAGGTTCTGAATACTAGGTAAGCCAAGATAAGATAGGGTTCCCCCTCTAAAATGCCCTTTATTGGTGTCAAAATTAATAAGGTACAAATATTCTGTTAGAACAGTCATTCCAACCAGTTCCAACAGCCTCAGAATGAGTTATTAGTTGGCTTTAATCTCATATGTTGAAAATAAAAATGTAGCCCCTTCTGGTAAGTTTTCAAAAGCAACCAATCAAATCAGAAATAGGGGAATTTTATTGCAGAATTTAAACAATAACAATTATATAAAGGGTGGATGATAGACAAATGCATGCCATAATTAAGGAAGCTCAAGATGTATTTCTTCCATAAGGATTCAAGTTTATTTGTGAAGTCTTTTTCAGCTAAGAACTCAGAAACAGATATTTGAATAGTTGAACCACAAAGCAAAGGCCATGCTTCAGAACAAAAGATAATAAAACATGCTCAAACACATTTATGAAAGCAAAATTTTTTGTGCTACTTATAAACCTTTAAATGATTTGAAAAATATTTTGCCTTTAGATTTTATTCTTTTTTCTATTTTATATATGTTTTAGGATCCACATTCTATGATTACATTAATATATGCATATAATTTAAATCAAGAAACCAACATAAATTTGGATGAATGCTCAAAGTTATTTTTATTAGTAGTATATGTTCCAAAATGTTTGGAGGCCATGGTATGAACTGCTTATATTTGATCCCTAATTCTGCTATTTACTACGTCTGTCATCTTGGACACATATTATTTGATCTCTCTGGAACCCAAGTTTGACTGGAGATCTTCCTGATCCTCCAGAAGAGGACTTTGCCATACCTTTCCCTTTCTGAGGTCTGTTAATCGCAAGTCATGAGACGATAGCATTAATGCCTTTTCACAACAATTTAGGGGTGCCAGCTGCAAAGAATTGCAGTGTATATTCAACATGGTACAGCACCAACAAAATGCAAGCCAAGTAATTTGTCTGTGATTAGAATCAGAGTATATTTTCTCTCAAGGATACTATGTAAAGTAGACTCTGGTAAATTTGCAACCACCAACATTCCCTAACCTCTCTTTATGTTTTATTTTCCTCCAAAGCAATAACCAATAACTAACATGCTCTGTACATTACTTATCCATTGTACTGGTTGGCTGTTTCCAACTACAAGGCAAACTCTATGCGGACAGGGATCATTGTCACTGTTATATCCCTGGTACAAATAATAGTCAAGTAAATAGATATTTGAGTACTTCCTATCATTCTTTCTATTAACCTGACTTCTGAAAATATATAGAATTACTGATTTTCTAAATTAAATTTTACATGAGCAGCCTAGAAATCTGGGTGCACAAAACTGGTTATTCTACAAATAAATAATTATTTTGATGATTTGATTAAAATGTACTATCACAAAACAATGTACAAGTTAATGCCTACTAATCCCAGCCAAAATATCATTTCCTAAAGAAAAGCCACCTTTTACCCCTAACACAAGATACTTCCTATATTAATGATTTCCATTGGTCCCTGTAATTTTCTCATTTCACTTAGAACAGCTATAATTAAGTTTTTATATGTGCCATTCAGTGTTCAAGGTCATCTTTGTTCAACTGTAAATTTCTTGTCTATCACTGCATCCCAGAACCTAACAAAACCTGGTATAGTAGGTATTTGGCACGCATATGCCAAATGAATGAACAAACAGAAATCTAATAAATATTCCAGCTTGGACAGCTTCTTACCAAAAAAAGACATAACAGCAGAAAATATAAGTTGTAGGTCTGGTTCTTAAATTTGGTCATTTAAGCAAACCAGAGAACTAAGGAATTATTCCTTCAAATGAAACTAGTTCCTAGCTTTTTCATCTAAAGCTGATGATATATAGCTACTTCTAGGAAGATATTTTAAGGTTCATTTTTATATATTCCCCAAGTCTTACTATTTTGAACTTAATAAGGAAAACTTCAGTCCTCCAGCAAAATTGCCATTGATCCCAAGTGAATTGAACTGTCCAGGCTCCTGGTTTCCTTCCAACATCTATATCTGGTTTTAAGATAAATTTTCCCAAATAAGCCATAAAAAAAAATTTAATGATTGAAGAATATTTTCATTTTAGATGAATAAACCAGAGGTAATTCAGTCTTTTAAAATCCATGACCAATGTACTTACTCACACTTGCTTTCATTTCCAAGTTTCCATCACTGTTACTTCTTCAAGTGAATAATATCCTTTTTCCGCTTGAGAATTTTCCTGGATCCTAGGAGAATAAAAGAGAAGCAAACTAAACCAAGTTTCTTTCATGTTAAAGAGATATATAGAAACAAACACCATCCTCTACCCACATACATACACAGAGTACGTTGGAAAATAATATTATGTTCATCTTGCAAATATCCTTAGAGTTGGAAAATTCACAAGTTTAATATCACAATAGTGAGTGCTTGAAACTAGATAGTCTAGAAAGATGGAATAATCCTGTTTAGTTCCATTAAGTCACACACTAATCTGAAAATGTCATAAATAGATACAGTATAATAATGTATTTGATGTGAATAAGGAAGAAACATTTCATGTTTCAATTTAATTCAACTATTTTATATCCACCTCATTCTGTTTACTAGGATTGAATGACTTACAATTTACCAAAACAGAAAGGACTTTCTGCTGGAATAGCAATGGTTTGAATATGAGCCACATACATGGCATTTTAAACCCAGTGATTTTTAAACTGGCATTATTTGTAACTATTTATAATCTGACCCTCTCAATCCAAAAATCAGAGCTGCATGAAAGTTTAGTTCCTATCACCTTACTGAATGTAGAGAACTTGGAATGTGATCTAATAAATTAACTAGAGCAATGACTTTCCACTTCGCTACAAAATGAAATCCCTCCAAGAGTACTAAAAAAGGAAGCGCTGATGCCTGTGACCCAGCCACCGCCATTATGCTATAATCTAAGTGTGATCTGGATTTTGCAGAGCTCCCCAGTGATCCAAAGTGTAAGACTGAAAAAACTGGTGCTAAAGGGTGATCAGGATTCCAGTGTTTACAAGTCCAAGGATTCACAAATACCCAAGTATCAATGCTACTAAAAAAGACATGAAGATCAGCATATTAAGTCTGTTTTTGTCATTAGCAAACATGGTAAACATGGTTATGCTGGGTGCTGCTGAAAGATGGAATAATTGGGAATTTCTGTTAAGGTGCCTGGATGTCTCGCCTATAAAACCACACCTTTATTATGGGCCCCAGGCTAATTTAGGAAAGACAAAAGCCAAGCTGATTGGTAATAAGGAATACCATCATGTCACAGCTTCTGTGGCTGAAGGCAAGAAAGCATTTCCAGTTTATTTCAAAGAAGTGCACTCTTACTCAGGCTTAGACATTTCACTGACATCAGAGGGAAAGGAAGAGGATGGTAGGTTTATTTGTACTTTCTTGATGATAGTCATAACAAATAATAGTTCAGATTTTTCTGTGAATTTCAGATTTTCCAGAGAGGTGAATAAAACCTTTCTTCTGAGGAGTCCAAGTTTTACGTGTAAGAAAAAGGGAATATGAGTGTCTGGAAGTAATGAAAGGCTACATGAAATAAGGGCCATTAAGAGCTATCTTTTTAAAAAAATGAAAAAGGCTGGGAAATTAGAAAGGTCAGAAAGAAAAGATAAATTGACATTATGCCTTAAAATGACTGTCATATTCCTAACACTGGCATATGATAAAGTATTTCTGTGTACCACTACAGTATATCTATTCTGTTTTAAGATCAAGCTTCTAAAATCTTCTTAAATGTTAATATCAATGGCCCTGTATCCAGAAGCCAAAATGGAATCTCTCAGAGACTGTAGACAACCTCCTGAAGAAACCAGACATGCTATAGATTAACCTTATAATTAAATGATAAAGGAGAGATTTCCAAGCAATCCTCAAATTTGTCCAACACCAAGAAATCAAGTCCATCACCAATTTGACAATATGACATTTGGGAAATACAAAGGAAAAAAGAAAGATGAAAAGCAGGGATAAGCTTTACAACTGTAAAATTTTTGTACATTATAAATGAAATTTTGTTAAAACTAAAAGGGCCCTTAGCAGCCTGTATATCTGACACAGTTGCAAGGCTGTGACTACCAGTAACAGGTACTGTGTCATTCAGAACAGACAGAACATTGGGAGAGACAGTACAATGAAAACCCAGGGCCAGAATTGAAGGTTTTTTTTGTTTTTGTTTTATAAAGATTTATTTATTTGTACATACAGAGCTGGGGTACAGGCCAGAGGCTCAGGGGCGGTAAGAGGCTTCACCAGAGACAGACTGGGGAGCAGAACAGGCAGATCTATCTACGAAGTACACTGCTGAGGGGAGCAGCGGGCGGGTCAGGAGAGGTCTGCCACGCCATGTGATCACCTCCAGAGCAGGCGGGAATCGAACTCATGCGGAAGTGGCTTTAGTTTCTCAGTGCTGTGCTTTAACCCACCAGGGAAGGCCCCAAAATTGAAGTTTTACTTATAATCCCTGACTGTAAAGATTAAACTGTCAAACAAAGTATATGGATTACATATGTTGTCATCCATTTTATATAAAATCAATATGCTTAAATAAATTGCATAAGCAAATCATTTGAATTTAACCCATTGTTCCTTATCAATTTTTCCTTCGATTCCAAATTCAATGCAAATAAATTCACTAAGTCAACACTTCTCAAACTTTCATAGGTAAAAAGGTTATAATTCAGTTGATCAGGGTATCTGGAATGGACACTAAAATTCAAGAATCACTGTTTCTCTCGTGGGATCACCTGGAAATTGCCGATCCCAGCCAACCAGTTGAATACGTTCTGATGTATAAGAAGTGAGGTAGGATAGAGGAGTTCTTGACTCTGCTAGACCTCAGTTACATGCTTCAATTTATATCTCATGTACTCAAATACGAACCCAATATCGTGACTGGACACTTCCAGGTGCATGTTATCTGTTGCCACAGTAATGATGTGCAACAAACCAAAGAACCTCAATGGCATTTAACAATAAATATTTATTGGACACATGCCTGGCACAGTTGGCTAAGTGGCTAGCTGCCTCTGCTTATCTTGGCTCAGCTCACTCATGTGTCTGAGTGTTGGCTGGCTGGGTATGGACAAGTCTAGGATAGGCTCAGCTAGGACATCTGGAACAATTCAGCTCAGATCGCAACTCTGACCCCAGTGTCTCCAGCAGCTAGTCAGAGAGGTTGTCATAAGAAGACAAAAGGGCAAGAGCAAGCAAGTACAAGCACTCATCTACTCTGCAAGCTTTGATCGCATCATGTTTATTAGCTGCAAATTGTCCAAAACAGGGCCCAGTGGCGTAATGGGTTAAAGCACAGCACTAAGAAGCTAACGCCAATCAGCAGGCATTATCCCCGCCCCAGAGGTGACCCATAGTCGTGGTAGACCTCTCCTGACCTGCCCACTGCTCCCCTCAGCAGTGTACTTCATCAGTCAGCCTGTTCTGCTCCCCACTCTGTCTTTGGTGAATCTTCTCACCACCCCTGCACCTCTGGCCTGCACCCCAGTTCTGTATGAATAAATAAATCTTTTCCAAAAATTATCCAAAACAAGTCGTATGGCCGAGCCAGCACCAAAATAAGTATAAACTACACTACAGAGCTACACAGCAAAAACATGGACCTAGGAAGGAGATTTGGAGTAAACTTGCAATCTGTCACACCAGATTACCCGAGTCTTATTTTAGTATCATGCTAGTACACTATGGGAAGTCAAAATTCGAATAATATCCTGCATTTCAAATACTTTAAAAAACTTTTTTTTTCAAAATGTGAGTGAGGACCTTTTAGCGGCTCACTAAATCAGTAAGTGGATTGGGACATGCATTTTTAATGTGATAGGGAAGAGTAGAATGGGAGAATATAATGGGAGAACAGGTGAGGGGAGGGGAGAGAAGGGCAGGGTAGTTGAGAGGAGGATAGATGAGAGGAAAGGGGAGAGGAGAGGAGAGGAGACAAAAGGAGTCCGTCTGTCACCCACAAGATAAATAGTTTCAGGAAACCTTTGGCTGGAGCGTGTGCGCATGCAAACACATGGTAGGCCCAAAGAGAAACATATTTCTTGCTATATGTTTTACATAGAAATTTGGAAACCACTGATATAAAGCAAGTTTCTGGTTTTGTATGGCCTTCATCTTTCATTCTTAGTGCCTTCAGTGAAAACCAATGCATGATGGATACTTCAGCAAAAGGGTGAAATCCAGCTCTTCACTGAGCAGTGTCCAGACAGCATCAATTTTACCTCTGTGACTGGAGAGTATTATTTTATCTCTTCAGTTCCCCCTTTCTCCCTGTGCAAAACTGGTATCCTAAATACCTATTTCACAGAATCCCTGTGCTAAGTGTTTGGCACAAAGTAGGAGCTCAAAAATTGTTAGTTTGCCTTTTATACTTGTGACGACCACCACAGCACCTAGCAGGGTGCCTGGCATGTAGTAAGTGCTCAGCTAATCACCTTACAAAAATGGTTTGAGCACTCCAGATTGAGGCATGTTTTCTATGGACTCCCTGACCCTGTTTTGTCAAGAAATGCTCCTGCGAAGGCTACTCTCACTAGGGAATGTATCCTCCCATCTCCAGACAAAGAACAGTTGCTCATTTAGCCACTTTGGAAAATTCTTATTTCCTTTATTACCACTGATATTATCTGTGATTAGCACCCTTTTTCTTCTTGTCTCCTCAGAAAATGAAGCTTAATGATTTTCTTTAAGTTAGGCGCCGGTGGCTCTCCACTGGCATTTGACATTAAACATTAAGTAGATCATTTTCTATATTTCATAGGTGCCTCTGAAACAGTTCTAAATGAACAAAAGTCTCACTCCACCAATCCAATAATGTGCTTCCCCAAGAAAATTTTAAATATTCTGTGTATGTTTTCTCTTTGTATGGAGCTAACGCTATCTTCTTTTGAAAAATAATGGCACAATTAGAAGTTTTAAGAATAAAAATAGTTTTGACTAATAATACATAAAATATGTCATCATTGTTCAACTGAACCTATAGAAATAAACATACTCATAAAAAAAAGGTAGAGGTAAGGTAAGCCTAATTTTACTAGCTAACATATCATTTCCCTTATAGTCTTTATATCTGTGCTGTATTCTTAAAGGAATCTGAAAGCCTGTGATACAGCAAAGAGACATAACATAAGCATTTGCCTTAAATAACTTCTGATATTGATTCTATCTTTTTCATATCAAACAAACCACA